AGCACGGAACGCATCCCTGAAAGACAGCACATGTTGGCTGGTCCCATTTATTCTCCAATAAAACCCTACCATCAACAAATAATACAACAAATTTAATGCGAATAGACTCTGCTTATTGGTAAGCTATAGACAAAGTCCTGGATGGGAAATCTAAAGGTGAAGACTTACAGTTCGTTTAACTCGTCGATGGTAATCTTCTTCAATGTCTCTCTTCTTTCGTTTACCGCATGGAAGACATCCCTACAACTAATGTTTGACAGAAAGCGATAAATCCTAGTGTTGAGAAGATTTGGAAACTAGTTTAGAAAATATAGTAATTAAAAAAAAGTAGTAAAAGTGAATCGTAAGTTTAATTCGGAAGCCTGAGAGACAGTGAGACATGGCAGATGAGAATCATTGATTGAGTTGTCCATCTATTGCATTCATTTGAGTTGAATTCATAATCGAATACTCCTGCGGAATGAAGGCTCTCCCCGTACACCGCCATGGACGCGAACTCGTGCCGTATCTCATGATCACGGACTGTACCTTTAACTACCGTAAAGTAAAGTACCCTTAACTTGCAATCAGAGGTGATGACCAAAGCCATTAGCATGGTATAGAGATTGAGACAACAGCGAATTGACCCTGGAGTACACCAAGAGAGAACTGTATAATAACATTTGCCAAAATCGTTGATTTCAGCTTTATAGACCTCTTGAGGCATTTCCCCGTTCCGGAGGTTCAGAGGATAAGCATTCGACGTTTATCTTCCTTTCTGGGATGCGCCACGCATTCCACGTCCACCCCTCAATCGTTGTGGCAAAGTACTTAGATTCGGCGTCTGCGACGAGTTCGAGCTAGCTGATGCTGGAGTCAGTAGTTTTATCCTCCCAGGCAAATCTGTCACCAATTAAAACCGATGCCGAGGTATGAAAGACTTGCAATTCGCCAGTGCACATGGTAAGTGGCACCGCTTTTCACATGAAACGGCCGCCACTATCCGCCACTGTTGTGATAGCAGAGGTGATACTGGAGTCAACATCCATCCAGATGATGTCCAAACCAATATAAGCGGCTTCTCTCCACCATGCTCAGCACATATCACTCACCATCCGTTTCACTCTGGCTGTTCGAGTGTCACTTTGTTTGCAATCGGAGCAGCTTGAAGAAGGAGGAGACTAAAAAGTATGGGTGAACTATGATGGCACCTTTCTGAAAATAAAAAATGTACCAAGGAAAATAACGAGGCGAGTGGATTGCTGTTGTTAGAGCAGCTTTTGCAATTCGATTGCCGCTTTACTCTTGCATGTCGCGTTTGTCCACCAGCAGAACACTTCTGACAGTTACTTGTAAAACCTGAAAAAATGCATGAGGTAATCTGAACACTGTAATTTCTAAATTCTTATCTTTCAAGACAATCTGCCGACGCTTGTACTTCTTTGGGTGAAAGAAGGAATGCACAGCAACGGTTAAAAAAGTACGCAAAGGTGGGATTTCGCGCATACTTGTCTTTCAGAAAAGCCTGAAGGCCTGAAGGTTAGCACAGGACAAGAACTTTAAATCCACAAACCGTCGTGCCCGACTCGAAACTGCTAAAAGTTATAAACAAAAATCGATTACTTGGAGATATGAATGCATTATGAAATAATGCCAGCGAGAACCTTCCGGCACTACTGGTCGCGACCACATACAGTGACGCATGGTAGTAATTGAGCGAATAGCGGTAAAGAAAGCTTGTCACAATGCACATTTGCGATTAAATGGCCACAGGTAGAAGTTCCTAGGGGATTTAGGCGCTTAAGCTAAAGACTAGAGAGAGAGACTCTGCAATAATGACCAGCTCAGACTTTCACGCTTCCAGGCTTCAGCAAGAGGTTGAGAAGATACCGTTCAAAACGCAGTACTCACGACGTTGTTCACCAGCGGTTCAGCGTGCATTGCACATTTCTCAATGAGAGGGGTCGTATTTTGGTTGGTGTAGGGTGGTGAAGGTCTGAAGGTGGAAGAGAAGGAAGGTCGTTCTTGGCATTAGAGGAACTGTTTCTGATATTCCTATCGCCCCTCACACTCGACACTGATCTCACTCACTGGAATCGAATACTATAGGAACACCCATTCAGAAGCGTCGTACTGAGTCCCCAAAAAAGGAAGAGTCGTGAACTTTTTGGAAATCTGCGCAACGCACGGTTGACCCTGCTGTCCGCCAGTGACAGATTGCGCCAGCACAGAATTTGAAGGCAAAATCCATGATTTCTAGACGAATGGAAGTGCCTCACCCCAGAAAGATGAGTGGGCAAAGCGTGAATCATTATATATCACTTGGATGAACACGACTCAACCAGGCCGAGGTGCTAGGCCAGGGTCATTAATATGCCCATCAACACAAACCCGCCCCACATCAATCGCTAACTCGCTCACACTTAGTGTTCGAGAGAGGGACTCATTCTCGTTGACTTACTCAGCAGTTCTTTTGCCGCTTTTTTTCATTACTGGCCGTTCACATCTTCACTGTCGCTTGCGAGCGCAACCACCCATCAGTTTGATCCTAACTTTGCCTCTGAATTAACTGCAAAGGGAAAGGACTCCGAAAACAAAAGAATGATACACGCTGGTATTTCCTGATAGGTTTTAGCTTCCATTCCTCTAAATGTTACAGTGAAGGAATATATGGAAGATAAAGGTACATATATAGCAGAATGATAGCATATCTCGGAAAGAATGCCTGTGAGTGCTCACCTGGACTCCTCTTCATGCGGAGCGCACGATGCATTCTTCTGCGGCAAGGGCAGGCAGGACAAGCTCGAAGACATGTTGGTAATGCAGGAGCCTGAACATGTAAGTGAAAAGTCTGAAAGTCTGAAATAGACAGCTGCTAAACTCACCGGGCAGCAGACGGGTGGAGGAGGGCAGCACACTAGCACCGGTTGACAGCATACTGGAGGCTGTGGACAGCATTGTATTGGTGGAGGTGGTGGACAGCAAGGAGGAGGAGCTGCAAGCTCATCTTCGTAGCGTTCACACACAACAATACAAAAATAAACAACAATAAACATTGAGTTGGTTTAAATAGCAGCAACTTACGTATACAGCATGGTTGCACTGGTACGCAACAGGGCTGAAGTGGTGCTGGCGCACAACCGCAACTCCCTCCGCCACCGTATCCACCTGTTTGTGGCAGCCCATATGGAGAACTGGGAAAAGGTGAGGAAAAAACAGAAGGTAAACCACCTGGAGTTCCTGAGCCATAACTTCCAGAAGACAAAGGGTAACTGAAATCCAAATGTGTCAATCTTGGACAAAGTGAACTTCAAACAAAGAACTGACCTTTGAGCTGAAGTGATCGCCGGCTCCAATTCGCGGGAAGAAGAGGGGATCGGGATGGGCTCGTGAGAGGAGGAGGTGATGGGGACGGAACCGCGAGACGAATACGAGGAAGGGACAGACCCGCGAGAGGAATACGAGGAAGGGACAGACCCACGAGAGGAATACGAAGGGACAGACCCACGAGAGGAATACGAAGGGACAGACCCACGAGAGGAATACATGGTTGGGCTGGGTCCATGAGCGGGAGTTCTGGAATCAACGCTTTTCAGCTGTCCCCGTTCCATGCCACTGTTTGGACGTTTATTATAATAAGGATCCTCATCGGGATCGTACTCTCCCCCCGAGGGATACACTCGCTCCACCGTCCTGAAAATGAATATTTTCAATCAAATGCAGTTGAACTCATGTAAATTCAAAGGATACGGTAAATTATAATTCCTTCCTCGGTCAAATTAAAAGCGGAGTTAACGATGAAAAGACGGCTAACTAGAAATCAAGGTAGACGTGGTCAGTGATGCAGAGGTGAAAAAAAAGAAAATGCCGTAGGACCCAGGACATAGGACCATTCCTTGCCGATTGATTTCCGTATTGATGCGATTCTTTCTGTACTGCCCTTTTCAACGCTAACGGTGCTACGCTAGAGCCCAGACGGTGAGGAAGTGGGCGGGCAGGCGACGATAGCGGCGTGGGAATGGCCATGCTAGATTGCTGGAAACATTGCCCTCTGCTAATTGCGTGTAGGTCAGTACACTTATGGGGTCCACTTACTGTCAATCATAGGTTGCGACAAGTACCAACGGGGTGGGGGAGGTCGTATTATGTTGTTTGTAGGTTGGGGGTACTCGATGGAATCTAAGAATTTATATGTGGGACATGGTGAAAGTGGCAGATAGTTAGTTTGGGAGCTTAGGTACAAAGGGGCGTCTGAAAAATTTCTTTTTTGGCAGTGTCAACCTATGTATTAACCCCCCCCTCCCTTCTCCCGCTCGACGACCGTGTGAAGGGCAAAAGTGGGTGGCAGGGTAGGTGGCGGTCGACTGGTCACAGGAATCAAAACTATGGAAGCATCGATCATGATAAGCGAGGGCGTAAAAGGGGAGCGTGAAGATTTTTGACTGGAAGGCGGGGGGGGGTGTAAAAACAAACTCCGAAAAGTCGCAACGATAGGGTCGACCCTGGGTAACCAGTCTTCCCACTCGGTGAGTTCCCCTTCTTCAACCCTCGACCTCATCGAGGAGTCCTCCTTCAAAAGCGCTGTAACAAATGCACAGCCACTGCACACAACAAGCTTGACTACAGTTCTGACAGGTAAATTGATGCTAGTCCATCTCTACTAGTAAACTACTGACAAGGTCTAGCGGCCACAATGAATCTTGGGTTAGGGGTAGAGTCGAAAGGCGTTGACTTGCGACTATGGACAAGCCAGCCATTTTCCACGTCCGGAAGCCGTGACTTCCTTCATATTCATCGATTCGGAATGATTATAATCAAAAAACTCATTCCAAACAATTTCAGTTTGTGGCCAAAAATGGCCCACCCCATTGAGCGCTGAACTTGATAAAGCCATCGAGAACTCCTTAACACAAGCTTGACCCTAATCCCACTTTCGCCACAATTTGCGGCTAAACACTGTACTTATAGCGCATATCTCCTGCAGATGTCCACAGATGTTTCTACTGGTTATATTTCTGATAGGGTTAGTTATTTTCTAACCAACAAATGCGAAATAGAAACAAGGCAATGTGGCTACGTTAGGCCCGTCCTTACACACTGCGTCAGATTCCACGAAATGCTCAATTTTAGGACTAGGCTTAGAGGAGAAGCAGATGGAATCCGAGGTGGTGAGCAATTCTCATTCTCTCCGAAATTTCTCTTTCTCCGTTAGGGTTAGCCCTAACGACCTCCCCACAGACTGGCCCTCCGGAGGCAAATTGTGCCATAGAAGCTGCATGTTAGCTATCCGCTATTGACAGTGTCAAACGTCCAAGATCTCACTTATGTTCGGCCTTATAGATGCTTCCTCGATTGAGGTTCGACAACGATTCGGGCAACTCCTGAAACGAAATATTTCGGATAAATTTGTCACTAAGCAAGGGTGCAAACGTACGGGATTGATGTCTGCACCGATTATTTCTTCGAACCCATCATTGTTCTGAAAGTTATATTGTATTGACAGTGATTCAATCCTCTGTGGACACAAAAGAATTTCTACTACAAGCGATCCTGAGCCTTCGTAGGATAACAATGATGGTGAGCAAATACATAGTGCGGTAAGTCACGCCGGGCTCAAGCCACTTGGACGGTCTGGCCGACGGGAGTAAGCGTCGACTATGGTGTGACTGTCGTGTCGTATTCAAGTGCAATACGCGAGGCGTTGTCGCGTAACTGTTACTCAATTCGAGGTGCTGTAGCACGGATAGTGCGTATAACCACCGCTGGGGTGTCCCCCAAGAGGCCCATCGCGCGGCGAAGGAAGAGACGCAGACGCGGCAAAGGACGAGTCGCAGCGCATACTGTAGCGGTTAGGCGTCAGGTTAAATAGAGTGTACCATACTATATCGCACAGCACGCGCTGCGACTCGTCCTTTGCCGCGTCTGCGTCTCTTCCTTCGTCGCGCGACGGGCCTCTTGGAGGACACCCCCACCCCTGCGCCCGGCGATTGCGTACCGCTCGCGACTAGACCGGCGACTGGCTATGCACGCGAGAACGCGACCGGCTATGCACGCGCTACAGAGAACGCGACCGGCTATGCAACCGCGTATTCTTCATGCGCCGGCTTCGATGAAGCAGGGACGATGGCTCGCTAGGACAGAAAGCGACGTTTTCACTTTCTGTCAGCTTTTCTCGCTGGGAGAAGCCCGGCTATCCGGCAGGAGGTCCGTCGGGCGGCAACAGAGTCAGCGGACGAGTCACAGCGTGTGTTGTGCGATGTTTGAAGTACAATGATACATTCTATTCAACTTGACGTGAAATCACTACAATACGCGCTACGACCCGTTCGCTAACTCTGCCTTCTCGCGCGCGAAGGGCCTCCTGTCTGGTACCGAGAGCTCCAGGCCCATTGCTACCAGCGGTGCACCAGTGGTTGCCCCATCGAGAAAAGGTCTTGCGCTGCGCATAGCAGAGATGTCGAAAAGTTCTATCTAGTTAGTTCTAACCACACCCATGAACCGCTAAGGTAATTAAGAATGTTCAGCTCTAAAAAGTTTCCACTTAACGGCTCCACAAATGTTTGCGATGGAGAAATCTGCACCTAGCAGTGATGCGCCCTGAAGAAAGGTTGGAAGTATGAGAATCACATCTGTCAATTGTCCACCTTGGGGAGAATAAGTGGAGTACAGTACAGTTGCACATACAGTAAGCAAGTCTCAGACTACAAGTTGCTATTGGGGGCCTGAGCTCCCTTACCCCCATCTCTATTGGGCCTTCACACACCATTTTCCCGGCTCTGCATTGATATGTCGTGAGTCCCAGAAATCGCCGTGCTCCTCAGTAAGCTCACTATTCTGTTGTTTTATTTTCTGTACGCTCCAAGTTTTGACACTAGTACGTTACAATCCACTCACACGCAATCTCGACGCAGTTTCTTGCTTTTGTCTCCCGTTGAAAGGAGATATCGAAACTGGAAAAGAAATATAAATTGATTTCAAGAGATGGAGCAGTATGTGAAAACGCCGAGATGAAATAGACCAAATTTCACAAAAAAAGAAAATGGGAGGACTTTTTTGAGATCAGCATCTGCATAGGTTTTTACCTGTGTTGTGTGTGATAGGTAGCTTGCGTAGAGCAGATCCCGCAATCTCCATTCCTCTTCGACCGCTTCCAGGACCGGAACCTGGTGGACCGCGGCAGCAAGGGCAGCACAGCCTGCCATCCTTCAAATTCAGCCCGATTGATTGGATGATTACAACCAAATTTGTCATTGTTACAAGAGTGGATTAATATGATGCGTCTTTGATCTCAGGCTCTCACATCAATAAGCCGTATGCTATCCTTCCTTTTGCGGGAAGGGAACGAAAGCCCCTCCAAATTCATGTGTTTTTGTGATGCAACGCTCTTACTTTGAGCACGTTTTGGCTTCTACGTACACAAATACTCCACAAATAGGGCCTTATTACAGCGATTCCGGTCAAACATACAAGAGCAATTCGAAGAAATTTTCGTTCTCTCCCTGGGATAGGGACATCTTACAGCTCAATGGTAGAAAATATGACACAAACAACATTCGCGGTAGGTCTACAGAACCGTCCATTTCATTTGTGATTGATCACATCATTCCGTGTACCCTCCCCTTCAAAAAGCGAGAAAGTGTCGGGTGCAGACCATGCACCACAAGTGACGACGGCCTTCACAAAATGTTAATGTTTTCTGCCAATGAAATGATTAGCCTGTTGCAGTTGTATTCTATCGATTGTCACTAATTACAACATTTACCAGAAATCAGCTATCACTATGAACAACTTTAACGCAATTAGCCTGTAGGGGTGCGTTTTCGTGTTCAGTTTTGTTGTTGGTGTTTGGTGCTTGGTGGCACCCGACTCTTTTCTTCACTACTTTGATGGAAAGTTGACTGTGGCTGTGTTTAGCCTGCTAAATTACTGCATTGGTAGTCGTAGAAGCGTGCCACCAAGTTAAGAAGAAACTAGTGCGCGGAAATTTTGATGCGCACTGCATTCACTTCTTATTCGAATCGTTGTGTCAAATTTGATGTTTTCCACCATTTTTCCAACAGTGCGGGCAATCACAGTCACTTGGTCCGCTACGGCTTCACTCCTTCATCGATCTTTGTGGCGGCAGTTGGCCGCTATCTTGTAATGTTCTATGACTGTTCCGCAACACATTATGAATCTCGATCCATTATCTTTCAAGAATCACTTAAAACTGCAAGGTATGTGCCAGGAGCATCCAGCAGCTACAATGTTTTGAAAGTTCCATCGCAAATATCCAGTACAGTACAGATTGGCTAAGTGCCAAGACCTCGTTGATGGAGGTAGTCAGAAAATGGAGAGGTACTAACCTTCGAAAAACCAGAGTCAATAGACGTTCCAGACGAGGTCTTTGAGTGCTTGTCCGGTATTAGTTCTCTGTTCCAAATAGGGTCGCTTCCACTGAGAGGTGTATAATTTGTTCCTGAATGACACAGTGAATCCACCCTGATTGGTTTGTTACTTGCATTTCCGTCTTCTTAGTATTTAACGGGTAAAATGGCAAATTCAAGAAGAATTTTCAGTTATGACGATAATTTGTTCCAAGAACCCATTTTTACGAGCCTCTTCTTTGACCAATCAAGAGGGGTCCAAGAATCTATTGAATAGCTCGTTGAATAGCTTTTCTCAAAGTCTCCAGAAAAGGAGACGTCAGGCCCAATTGTGACACACAAGGGTAGATAATACAAGGGCAAAGCGTAGACATTAGGATGCGCTGCTATGATGCCACACACTATACTTCTACACAAAATCATTCTATTGGTTGAATTGGTCTACACGATAACATTTTTGTGAGAGCTGGCTAATGTCAAGAATGATGTTTTTATCCCAAAATTTTGTACAAATTACTCGACGATGTAGGCATGAAAGGCTTGGTTGGTCTGGTACTAAGCCGATTCAGTATTTCACTCCCTGAGGCGCGTGTAGTGGTTTATTGGCAAATGTAGTGGTAAGTGGCCCTACTTGCCACTACACCACCTCCGCCTCACGAAAATATGTTAAAAATGAGTGCGAAATTTTCTAATGCTTCTCAAAGCTGCAAAACGTCTTATTGTTTTCATCAATGCATTGCTGAAAGACCTTAATAACATTTTATATCTCGAAAATAGGCTGTCTAGACAGAAATGTTCTGTTCTAGTTTAAAGGCAAGGTTCGGGATTTCTGGTCAAATTTAAGCTTTTCCTCGAGAAAAATGCAGCCTTGCAAGCAGAAAGCACGTACACAACATCCGGGATGATTTGACAAGGCCGAGGCGCTTAGGCCCAGGATGCAGCACTTGGCCCCACCCAACACCACTGAGCCCGCACACAAATCAGTGCGCTTCGCTGCTACTGGAGAGAGGGT